CCAGAAGTGAATAAGTTGAATGACAGAATATTATGGATTAGGATATCAAGCGACAGGAATTGCCTCTTGTGCGAAGAACCAAGTCACATTTTCTCATTATTCACCTAAAAGGAGTCAACCAATCAGCCGTTACTGGTACGTGAATATCATTGCGTGGTAGATAGCCTGATTATTAGGTCTAATTGTTACTTCCTCGGTAATCCACTGCCAAGAAAGAAGCGTCATTAGAAAGCTCATGAAACTTTCCGGTCAATAGAACCAAAATGCCAGTTTGTCTATGCTGGTCGATCAGTTTTTGCATGATAAGGTGAACAAGAAGTCTAAAAGATGTTCACAGTTTAACAGGATAAAATACATGGGATTATATACCAAACTTCTGGAGTCTATGTCAGTTTTTCAGTGAAAATGCGGTATTCAACATCCAAGATACAAGTCCTAGTTCCAAACTTTGTTACGTTTACTTCCACTTAAACGACAGGGTACTTTCATAAATCTTTACACGATAAGTGTAACTCTCAGCCTTCATTAAGGTTAGAAGTTGAATTATCTATGTAATATATAACCTCTGTATGAAGTGGTATTTCTGTAACGAGTTTCAAGAAAATGTCTTTCCTTTTACAAAATGAAGGCTGAAGAAGTCGATCTGATGGAAATGGGATCCAGGATGAACTCAATCAATTCAGAAGATGATAATACAGGTTAGAATGTTGAAGTTAAGCGCTGTGCTCTGAAGAGTATGCAGAAAGACATAGTGAAAAAAAATGGGGTTACACTTTCTAAACGAGGTTCCTTCAAGTGAAGTAAGCACAAAATGTAAACGTTTGCCTAACAAATGCCTAGCCTGACACAATAAAAATGTGCAGTTGAAAAGAAACAGAAATCTTACAGAAAGTAGACAGTAGAACTGAAGATGCTATTCAAGGAAGCTCACAAAATGTGGATATTTAGTTGGACCGATAACACTTACATAAATAGTGATGATGTAGTCAGCATTACATAATACTGCTACGGTGTACTTTTGGCCATTCGCTTCTTTTATAAACATATTTCTCTGTTATCATTAAATGTGATACAGTATATGCTTTGGAATTATGGAATCGAACTGCTGTTTGTGCCAGTCCTTTATATAATATAAAATAGCATTCGTTAGGAGTTTGTTATTGGCGGGGTGGGGGCGTACTAATGCAGGAGATCTATGCCCATATATAAATAGTTTGTAGACTTTATGGCTTTCAATCTAATTATGTGCATGCAACTTCAAATGAGATATAGGTCACTTACAAATCGACTTCACTCATACCTGTTACATAACATAATATATCTGGTTCCAAGTCACTATTATCTATATAGATTTGAATCGTCTTATGGTGTCCCTTAGTGAAAAATGCATACCACAATTCATCGTTATCATTATCCTCCCCAATTCATGATATATGGGTCACAAAATGTTTGATCAAAGAAATTCAACGACAGGTCACAGTGTACTTCAAGGAGATCACTATAAAACTAACTAATTTGCAAGGTATTTTTAATTAGGTGATTTTTAATGCAACTGTCACCATAAACGATGATATTTTCATAAACTAAGGGCATTCCAGTCGCTGAAGTGCAGCATAATACATGCATCAACCGACAGAATATATTGAATACGTCAATTATCCTTTTGGGTGATTCAGTTTTAATTGAAGAGAGAATATTAAATCACTTACGAAGTGCTGTTACCCACGTGTCCACTAAAGATTAGTATTTCAAAGAGTTTCCTAACAGTCCATCAAAAACTGATCAGTATTGTAGTTGTGATTCTACGGGGAACTGAAGGTGTTTGTACGTGTACGTGTCTAACTACAGTTGTACCCAGTAGACTGGATAAAAAGGTTATAAGAGTGTCTGGTTGTGTAAAATCAGTAAGTAATAGAGACTGTTTAGCATTAATAATTTGGTGATGGCTAGCAGTGAAATACAAGACATATGTTTCGTTCAGTTTAAGGCTCAGCAGTTGGATATGCCTGCATCCCAGTAAGACATGCTATTCTCGCCGGGTTTCGATTCAAGCATTTAAACATCAATGAATAAATAACAAAGCAGTTTTAACTTGGTTGATTGCCAGGGTGGATGTCCATCGATCACAGTGATTGTAGTGCTGTATTATGAAAAATGAAATACTGGATACCAACCCTCTCCATATGACTTAGTGGTTCTGAGTTATTTCTTACATAAAATCGTGGGTGCGCCCTGCAAACAGTCACAAACTAGGATGAAAAATCTGCTCTACACGGCCTGCTTTTCGATGGTACCCTTCATGATTTCGATCCAGTAAACAAAACGCAATGGGATAAATCAGATTCATACAAATAACCCAAAGGAAGGGAATTAAAATCTGTAAAACGATGTGGCAGTACAAAACCATTCAGATGATCACCTGAAAGCCCACACAAACTGATTGACCTGGCTTAATCAACTAATTCAGTAGCAAGGAGGATAAAATCCTGATTTTTGAAGAAGTCAGTTATGGGTTAGTACCCCACTATTGAGAATGTCTTACTAAAATGTAAATAAAACCATCTGATGAGTCTAAAATAGGGTGAAATTTATACTGTGGATTCTATTGGTAATCACCACCAAACAAACAAAAGAGAATAACTATTTAGTGTGTGGAAATAATTTCTAATATATTTTGATTTGGTTACATTGCAGTTGTCGAGATAGGAGATGTAGAATATTTTACATGGAACTTGCGGATGACTACTCACCAGAAAACTGATTCCAGTCATCTGTGACCACAATGAAGGGTGAAAGCAGCTCAGACATAAACAACAACCTTTGTAATGATGGCAAGCATTGGTGGGTGGTAAGAGTGAGAGAGATGGAGGAGGGATCAGCATTAGGTAACGCCTGGCAACTACTTAGGCCTATTAAGGATACTAGCAAGAAGATGACAATGGTGAGTGAAACCATCATTAAGAGAGATGGGACGTTGATAAATCCTCGGCATATCCGTCTATGATGTTGGGCAGAACACCTTGAAGCACAGTTCAACTGGCCTTCTGCAACGCTTCAGTTGCCCAACATCCACCCTGAACTTGAATGGGACTTAGATGTCAGCCCTCCAACTCTAATGGAAGTTGAGAAGACTGTATCGAACCTGAAACGACGCGAATCAGTAGGAAGTGACAGTTTTCCACCCGCATCTTTCACGGATGTAGGAAGGAAGTTACTAATTAAAATGACGGAGGTAATAAGTAGTGTATGAGAGTTTAAGGAAGGGCCGTCAGGCTGGTGTACTTCACTGATCATCCCTGTCTATAAAGAACGAGAAAAGTCTTCCTGTAACAGTCATAATGGAATCAGTTTAACAATATGTCCAAGATCTTGGGATCCGTAGATATCCGATGTCGGACTGAAGCTTGAGAACAGAAAACTCGAAAAACCAGGCAGGTTTCAGACAGAGTTAGATGAGGGGTGCGCCAGACAAATTTTCATACTTCGTTGGGTTTTGAAACACAGACAAACTTACGGGTGACCAACACTCGCCATATTTCTTGACCTGAAGGTGGGACTCGACTCTTGCGACTGTGAGTTGTTGTGACAGTGTCTGACTGTGAAGGGAGTACTGAGACAGTATATAATGCTTATCAAAGCTATCTACTCTAACTCAAGCAGAAGTGTAGGGGCTTATGGTGAGTTGTAACGGGATCCGTCAGGGATGTCCTTTGCCACCACTCCTATTCATCTTCCTTATTGATATAGTAATGGAGATAACAGAGATTTAACTTTACAGGGATTGATCTACTTCCTGGAGGTTATCTGATTGACCTTCAGTATGTAGACAACACTGTCCTTCTGTGTGAAGACGCTAACAAATGCAGGGTCTTTCGAATAACTGGAGCATACATCTGAGTATGTTTGGCATGCATTTTACACCTGCCAAATGCAAGATGATGCTTCAGGAATAGTCTGTAACTGCTTCTAGTTTAAGGAAATAGAGTGAAGTGTTGGAATGCATTGACCACATCACTTACTTGGGAAGTTGCATCGACCTAAATGGACTGTTTGCTGGCGAAATCTCAGCTCATATACGGAAAGCCCACCTAGCATCTGTTGACTTGCATCACCCCTAGCATCGACTGACCAGATAAATGACTACCCATTAAAGGATGAGTATACTGTGCTGGAGTTCGTTCCACCCTGTCATACAGCTGTGAGACAGCCATTGATAGTAGTGGACATGAAAAGACTAAAGGTTTTTGACTATGGGCGTCTTCAGAGGATTGCTAATGTGTGATGAAATCACCACATGAGGTCATGTGCAGGGTATTAGGTAAGAAAGGCAAGCCAGTAGATGAGGCAGTGAATCTTCATCGACTGAGGTGGCAATGCTAGGAAAAGTTAGATTGTGTTGGAAGAAGGCTGAGGGTAGTCAAAGATGAGGAACCAGTCTATGAAGTCTCAGACTACTGGTCTGAGGTGTGTATGAAGAGGTACAGACTGTGCAGTTGGTGTTCCCAAGACCAGAAGAATCAATGGTTTTAAACTTTTGGTGACATGGTTGAAAGTCGATCACACTGGTGTATATGTATTCACTCTCTGATATCTTCCAAAGCTTGATAAATTTTCACTAACCCTTATTTTTAAATCCCTTCTCTTCCATTTATATCTTCGTCTGCCTTTGTATCACTCTTTTTCCATCCATTTATTCTTTACATGCTGCGGTGAAGTTTGACAACTTGAACCGATTCACTTATGTGCGAGGTTCTAAGTTTATTTTGTCTTTCTATCTGATATTAAACGTGATCATTTTCGTAACTATGATTACCAACCACACTCCAAGAAGGCTTTCTGAGTTAACTATAACGAGTGTACTCATCATAAGACATTGAACCTCCATCACTGACTCTTTAATCAAACAAATAAGTTAATGTATGGAAACAGAAATTAAAGTAGATAATAGTTTTAAACGAACGTTACAGAAACTACTACGGAAACAATAAAATATGGTTTACCTGATTTACACATTTTTGAATTAGATTTACACTTGAAAATCTGTTCGATTTCATGCTCAGAAAATTGAGAACATCGAGTTCGGACAATAGCGCACTAGTTAATGATAGAGGAGACAATATACAATCATGTCAAACAAATAGAAATTTATGGTCTGAATATATTTCCTAAGGAAATTATAATGGAATCATCATAAGGTTGAGTTACAACGCGTTGTATCATTGTCATCACGAACTAAGAATCTTGTGGATAACTACTTTCATCCAGAATCTCCTTATGTATTCCAGACACATGTTTGCATATATTCCAGTTGGTTAAACTTCTTCAATACCTTGATTGTCTTAGGAAATTACTTACACTTTGGGGATGAGATTGTAGAGATTTATACACCAACCATGGGCTCAAACATAAAGTTATAGGCTTGTTGCCTACTTGGTGGCTAAGAGTGGAACTTAGAATATGCGTTTTGCCCCACTCAGGAATCGTCAGCTGGATGCATATGTACCCTGTGAGTGCCGTTCCCACTTCTAGCCATCGAACGACAAAAGCATAATGCGTAATCGGGCAGCCTAGAGGCGATGGCATAGATGCCCATATGCTAATGGAGGTTGAGTGATTAAACCTAGTATAGCGACGGGAAATTACAAATGTCAAGCAACAAGTTATAGCCTCTTTCTAATCAAAAACTAGTTAACAAGTGAGATACAAACACACATAGGGTTGCTTTTTTGTTTTTATACCCGACGCACAAAACGTGGCTATCGTGACTCGGTGGCCTAGTGGATAACGCTTTGGCGTTCAAAGCTATCAGTCTTGGGTTCGAATCTTAGTGGGGTGCGTATACATCCATCCGACTAGTCGCAAATAGGATGAGACGTGCGTCCTGGATTCCACTGCTTACTACTAACCAGCATTACTACAAAATACATAGGGTTACTTATCCAGACATTACACTAGAGCAGAACCCAACATGGAAGTGAATCAGTTCAAGTTATCACGCTTCACGATAACACACAAAAAGGTAGTGGGGAGAAAAAGAATGACATTTAACTAGACTGCAGCATATGACAAGAAAAGGAAGAAATAGATGAAGATTAGCAGAAAGTAAACAGTTATGAAGTGCACACATCACAACTACTGATTACCATCATCCCGAGGACTCAATTCAAGGGATTTAGATCTCACTCTATGGCTCAGGGATTTCATGATTTAAAGCAGTATTTTGATCTGGTTTCTTAAGCTTCTTTCTAACCGAATCCTATCTTGGGCAATACAATATATTGAGGTAGGCAGTTGCCCTGAAAGTGCAACTTACATTCCAATCCCCTCACATTCATGTAAAAAGAAATACTATTTCAAGTTAGTAAAAAAATAAACGATTGAAGAACATACAGGAAAATATACTGTACTAGTAGATTCAGAAATCGATTGACGTGTAATTACTTTTTAGGAAATATATCCAGAAGCAAAGAAACCGCAGAATACCACTTAGATGTTTCACAAAACATTTAAATTAATCATTCCTTCCAGCAACATTTGATTCAAGTTTCATTTGTGAGAAGTGAATTGCATAAACTTATAATATGATCAGTAGCTTATCCAATGGATCAAGTTAGGGTACCGTGGATATAGTTAGGAATAGCTATATCTACGAAATATTGAACACAAGCTAGTCCAATAGTAAAGTCCTCATCATAAGTTTGAAGAGTTTCGAGTTCGATCATAACATTTGGCTCCAAAGGCTCAATAATCTAAGATGTTGACAGCTACAAAAGAGTAGCTTCTATCTAGGGAAAAGTCAATGTATACAGGTGAACAATTTTATCTTCCATACATTTGAAATGTAAGACAAAAGGATAACAGTAACGAAAAAAAATCAGGAAAGACTCACAAAGCCAGCCGTTCTAAGGTAGTCACAGATTATTTTGGCTGAATGAATAGCCTCTTCATGAGGAAATACTGTGATAAGTGCAGATTCACTGGGTTGATTGCCCATTTGTGGATTATTGACTTGAACCAATGAAGTAAATAATGATTTATTACCAATTGTAAGGGGAACAACAGAGTGGTCAGATGAGAAAGACAACGGTAGCGACATTAGCGGCTGCAAAAGAGCTATGGAATCTTCAGCTGCAAAAGGGTTAAAAACAAGAGGGAGAGAGAGAGAGAAAGAGGATTATTTACGTACAAGACATAGGCATGTAAATTGACATTAATTAAGTCAATAGTTGTTATTTATACTGGAGAACCTTTAGGAAAGGAGTCGATTCAGAGGTAGCTTTAATTATAAAGCTAACCGCTGTCGGATTGATACTACTATTATGCGGAAAGAAATTTATCTGATATGGAACTACACTCTATCACTATCATAATTAACCAATCAGGGAACTATAAAATATATTCTGCAGTAGTCCAACAGAATGGTTGTGCAATATACTAATTTGACTGAAGCTAAATGAATTCAACCTTTCAGAACATTAAAAAAGTTTAATGACGTGACCTTGGAGGTTCTGGTTCACTACTGAAAGCTCCGGTGCATCCTGACTTTCGGTGATCTTTTAACCATCAATTTATAGTGGAAACTGCCATCACATTGATCTTCAAATCATTTCAGTCTTCGAAAAGTTTCAGTTTTATAAGTGGTGATAGTTGACTTATTTTCTTGTCTATCAGTGAAACCGAAATCATTTTTACATTCTAGACAACTAACCATTTGTTTTTGAGTTCGTATGGCTAGTAATTTTTGTATCACTGGGCATTATTGTTGTCTGTATTATTATTTTTATTATTATTATTTGTCCCTTGGGTTCCTGGTGGAACATAGGGATTCAGTAGCACGTCACCATTTCACTCTCTCCTCTTCTCTTCCAAACAGTCCTCAATACCTGGCTCAAACACTCCACACAAGCTCTCATTTCTTCTCACACGATCTCCTCCATGTCACCCTCAGCTGGGACGCCCAACTCGTCGTTTCCTATGCGGGTTCCACTCAACGGCCTGATACGTGATGTCTCCAAATGGTATTCTCAATGCATGCCTGACCCATCTCCACTTCCTTCTGCATGTTTGTTGAGTGATGGGTTCTTGCTTCGTTGGTTGGTTCGTTACCAGGTCAGTCAGAGTGAGTTTCTTGTTGCGTATTCTCATTATTCTGGCCATCTGATCTGATCTTCAATTATCGAGCGAGCACGGATGGCAGCTGTTCATGTATAATGTCTGTAGTTTGTTGGAAATGCTTTCGTAACTCACTAACTCTCTGAACCATCACATGGAAGCACTGACTTACTTGACTGAATCAGTGTTGAAAATCCGGATCTTGTTGTTTATGCTGAGTGCAATATATTTATCAGCTTCTAAGTTGTAGACAGAAAGAATTGATTTCCATGGTGGTGGCTAGCAGTGGAATTCAGGAGGCACGTTTTGTCCTGTTCCGGACTTTTCAGTTGAATCTACCTGGATCCTAACAACTGAAATATTCCCACTGGGAACCAAACCTACCACCCATGGCTTTAAACATCAGAGTCTCACTGAGAATACCATTACTCGCTGGGTTCCAGGTACCTCCAATTGAGCGGTAGACAGATATACTTTGTTACTTTGGACACATATTAGAAATCAGTTTTTCTTTGGAGGTAAATGAAGAATTACTTTGATACTTACAGCAGACTGATCTTGTAGAATGCCAATTACTAAAACTGTATGGACACTTTGAAATTAGTTGTAAACTACGCACTTCATCTTGAGATTGCTCAAAGCTGATTAAGCTTACAACTGTTCAACTGTGGTGTCAACAAAGTTCCCATTGCGTACTACTCAGCTAAGAACATAAAGTGTGATCCCTAACACGAAAGTCGCGTCAACTACGTAAAAGTATTACTTGACAGTGAGAAGGGTTAGAGACCAATCACACCGATCCATAGATATTACTGGCTAAATTAAAGGGATGTAAAAAATGTACAGCCATTTTGTATAGTTGGGCCCAAGCTCATCGAGGTATGTGCTGGAACAAGATTATTTAACAAAGTTGAACTGTAAAGATTAAGTGAATCCGACTAACTGACTTGGATGGGCCGACACACCATAGTCATGTTGCTTTTTAATATATTTTGGTTAGTTTATGATGCTCTCCTGTTAAAGGTTATGCTATATAACGCTAGTTGGGTAGCTTTCAAGGGAAATCCTGTTGCGACTCAGCTGTGTAGTTGGAAATCTACTAATTTATGAGAAATATCAATATGGACAGTACAGTTTTTAAATCATTCGCAAAGGTATCATCTCGTTTAGGTTTAAATGAAATTGGAGTTCAGCTGAATTTATATCCCAGTAGATACTGTAGTTTCTAATGGGGTAGCCCTTATGAATAGGTCATCAAGTCAGTACTAATCTGAGTCTAAGCTAACACGTATTGAATTCGAGTTTCAGAAAGGTAATTATATCCTACTGACAAGTATTGAATAGGGTGAACAGCGTATCTCAAAGTTCACTGCTAGTCAACACTAAACAAATAAGGTCAAAATAAAAACTAGATGCAAAATTGAGATAATGGTATGCCAAATGATGTCAATCGGTTCAGTCTACTAAACTGAACAATGAGAAATCACACAGTACAAATAATAGTTTATTATAAATTAGCAAGTTGTACTGGTTATTCTTTATACAAGCCAAAGTAGAGCATGGCACAGTTGTTACTTCAGCAGCTCAAGTTTTCACGTATTACAAAAGTATGAAGAAGGCATCAACAGAAGGGAGGAGATATTTACATCAATAAGAAAGGAAAGAAAGTTGATGAGCGACAGATAAAAAAGACTAACATGTAGAAAATTTTGACAGTAAAGATGAAACACATCCGTGTTACTGTAATAAACAACTAGCCATCTTGTTAAGATATCATTTAACTGATCTGGTAACATTTGGACTACTTTAACCAATTAGTTTACATTTCACGACACCACTTAAAATACTCAGATATTTGAAGGTTTCAAAGATAGAAAGTGGATTTTGATCATCTGGAGGTAACGTAACCAATTAAATCAAAGGACTAGAATACAGTGATTCAGTCAAACAAACTTGAGCGAACTCAAGCAAATCACCGTTTCGATTAAGATTCGAATGAATAAGAAAGGGATGCATGAATATAACCCTAGTAATATACTGTTAGTGAACAATATGAGTAGTTAGAAATCACGCAAGCTAATCTGTAGATTTCACAAGCCGGCTTATAGTAATCTAAACACTGGATAGTGATTTTGCTCATATAGGACTGAGCTGATCAGCGGTGTACCCGAACAAACCTAGCTCATAGAGTCAAATTAGTTTAGATCACCTGAATCCGGTTAGCTGACTTACATGGATCGGCATAGGATGACCACCTTGCAAATTTTCCGATTCATGTTGACATTTCTCATAGTTGAGAAGTTTTTCAACTGCCCAACTTTGGTGTCAACAGAAATTTCGTTGGAAACCACCCAGTTAAGATTACAAGGTGTGATCTCTGACACAAAAGTGTCACCAACTGGTGAAATATGCTACTGAATAAATTGATTAGTTGACGCCACAGTTGAGCAGTTTTGTGCATTACGAACGGTATATCCTTGTGAAAATGTTAATTGACTATTTCCTTCTAATAAACACGACTAATAATGTATACTACTTACTGAATTAAATAGTTATAGACTACTAGCAAAAATCAACAGTGCCATATGAAGATGATCCAACCACAGAATGACCGCTTCGCTGGTTTAGGAGTTGAACTCATTGACGATGTACCTGAATTGATCCAGCCGACAAAAACATTGGTGTATCTTTTATGTCCTCAGCCTTAAACGAACAAAATGGTAAGCTGGTACTTTGGTCACCTACATTTAGTTACAAATGGAATATGATTTAACTTAGTGACCACCTGGCAGTGAGCCATATTTATCATCTGAGAACTTACAATGCTAAATAATTACTCAAGCATCAGTGGGTGAACTGGATTGGAAACTGGGACTAGGTGGTTGAAATTTGACTGCCTAGTCTAGTGAGCTACAACTCCACAGGATAAATCTAATAATGTATGGGTTAAAGTGAATTTGAATTCTGCATCCTTAATGTTTCCACTTAAAGGATTTCCTCTATCATCAGAGCACATCTTGTTGTGAAGCCAGCAGTATAAGTAAAAAATAGATCTAGGTCAAATTGCCTACTGGCTGCTAAAACTGTGTGGAATTATTTAAGTCGAAATTTTCTTGATCTGCTTGTAATGATAGTATAGGTGTTATGATGTACCAAATCGTTGGATATTAAAGATCAATCAGCACGAAATCTTCAAACCTTAAAGTATCTTGAAGTTCAGAGAACATCAAACCGCCATCCTTCAGTATACATCCTTAATGCGGTTGTTAAACAACACATCTTAATTATGGAGATAAAAAGCGGGGTAACGTTGGAACCAACTGTAAACGAAATTTATCATATCGGCTAAGAACTTACTTGGATCGAAAGACATTGAAAGTATGGAAGTATATTGAGTCTGATCGGGAAACATGAACTAGAACATGTAATTACTATTCTTCGTCTACTTCACTTCATAATAATTGATTCACCAAGCTGAATGAATTCGTTTTACGGAGTTGAAAACTGTTTAAAGGATTATAAACTTGTTTTACATGAAAACTAGCTTTTGCAAACAGCTTCTACCTGTCATCTAGTAACTTGCTGTGTTGAGAAGGTATGGTCCACCAGATCAACGGGACCGACGGTGGAAGTCAATGAGTACCAGAAGATGACATTTTGGTTCCATGATTTCAAGTTTTGACTGAATTCTAGAAAGATAAAACTTTTCACTGCTATTAAGTGGGTGAATAGTAACCTGGTTGCTTTGACACATTCAAATTCGGTTTCCCTATGAGCTCAGAAGTGGATCCTGTCTATCTGTCACGAAGGTGAACGAAATTCCTTCTTACTACCTCGTGGATAAACACAACGTTTATCTCTGGGAAATCCTATAATTTTAGTCTGTTTATTAGAAATATCATACAGTGAAACAGTAGCATTCACTAGTTAACGTTTCAGACACAATTTATTGTCCATATTCATATCAACTAACTATCCACAATTTCAAGATAGTCTTTATATATTCCTAATTTTCT